GCCTCAGAAAATAAAATGGACACATATTCTAAAAGAGTTTCAAGTACTTAACCATCGGTGTTCCACTGCCAGTAGCTTGAGATTGTGAATTCTTAATCAGCTGAGTCGCAACATTCATCATATAAGAAAATACACCAGCATTAATAGTGATATTTTGGGGTACAACAAATTCTACATTATTATCTTTGACATCTTTCTCCTGATCATCCATAATAATAAAATAACAACAAAATAATTTAATTAGATTTAGTTAATATTTTAATTTCTATTATTTATAACTTAATTTAATCATCCTACTAATTCTTTCCATTAAGATTCATGTTGTTAAATCTAAACCATTTTCTCTGATACCACTTTTGTCACGACCCCGTCCGGGGCTTGAAATTAATCAAGAAAAGAAAATACAAAAATTATTATTGCGGGCATAAAAAGAAAAATAATACAAGAAGTACAAAAAGTTCACAGCCGAGTCAACAGTCCTAACAATACACCATGAACCTCTCTGTAAGCATTTTGTAGATCTCCCTCGTACAATTGCACTCAATTTCTTCTCATAACATCTTCAAACTCTCAAGATAAGAACATGAAAAAAGGATGACATGAAAAAATTCTCTCGAGCGAACCCTAGGGAGAAACCCTAGAGCTACAAAGACTCTCCTAAACCCTAGAGGCAAAGCCCTCAAAGGCCGGTAAGTGTTATAAGCCTTCAAATAATCTCCTTATATAACATTAGGGCTACCCATATGCTCAAAACATGCCAGTTCAAATCCGTGGTTAGACAGACGCTAGCATAATCACGCCTGAAGTAGTGTAGCTATGACGGGCCAGGCGTATTATGCAAAAATCCTATGTAATTACAACGATCGAACAAAGAGCCCAGCGTAATTACGCCAACGGTCTACATAATTATGTCGTTCCTCTCAATTGGGTGACTTTGTATTTTGAATTTGTAAAGCGCACTCGACACTTGTAACCTGCAAAGACAACAAATATATTCGTCACAAGCGTAAAATCATGATAAGTATGAAATAAAATAGAAAATTTAACTAGAAAAATAATAGAATTTTGAGTCGTATAAATTAACCGACTGGAATTTAAAACTGATGTCCTGGTTCCAACATTTTCCTAATCATCTTAATGGAGAATTAGGGGTCATTGTTTGTAACAATGGTTAAGGGCAGATCATACCTGCAAATGATGTCAATCCATATGAAGTTTGAAACCACGATTGTGGTGACCTTGTTAAGTGCCTTAGCTTCAATCTATTTGAAGAGGCAGACAACCATGACCAAGATGAACTTCATTTGTCATTTTTTTAGGGAAAAGGGACCAAGCAGGTCCAAAGGCTTAAAATAGTTGATGTTTTAGCAGCTACTTCTAGCACTGCACACACCTCTTGGAGAAATTTTCTGCATCTTGTCAAATTGTTAGTCAGAAATAGAGTAGCTTATTTGTTAGTGTGCAGCCCCTGGAGAGAATTCACTTTCTTCTATGTGTTTAAGGTAGGTTGAGCTAGTTTATCTCCCAAATCGCTTGCCCAATCAACCTGTACTAGGCAGCCTTGGATCACAATTTCAATCTCTGTGTTCTCAACTGCCTTGATAGTGAAACAGAAAAGCTTTAGCGGCAACTGTTTGTTCATATTTTTCATTTTTGATATGAGAGCAAATTGGTTTTTACCATATGAATGTGTAGAATCTTAAAGTGCTTAAAGTACTCGAGCCTCCTGATTTGATCTTTAACTTTTTATATATCTTTGCAATGTAACTTCACTCTCTTCATATTGACCATTTACTAAATTAACTACAAGTTTAGAGTCCAAACATGTGGCAAGATGTTGGACGTTGATTCCTAATGATGACACATAAGGCAGCTATTTGGGCTTTGTACTCTGATTGGTTGTTGGTCAAAGGAACCATATGTTTAGAGTGTGGGGCAGAAAAATACCCTTCTTATTTTGAAGTAGAAAAATACTCATTGGGGTTCAAAAGACGACCTCATATTCCACTCACAACACGATGGAAGCGCCATCAACAGAAAGCTCCCATAACAACTCATTGGATGGTAACACTTCATCTTGTCTGTCACTTTAAGGGAGGTCGGTAGAAATTGGTGAATGTTTGTGTAATGATCGTGTTCTAAGGCGAATATATGAGATTGAATTCACTTAGTTCGACTGTCCAGTTAAGTAATCGGTCCGATTGGTTAGGTTTTGCAAGTATCGACTTAAGAGTGTGATCTATGATGACGTGAATCGAGTGTAACTGAAAGTAGGTCCACGACCTCTATAAACACGAAAGCCAATTTTTTCATGATGTACCATCCGAGTTCGGCACCGCTTAGAACCTTTTTAGTATAGTAGACAAAGAATTCTCGACAATCATCCTTCGGGACCATAACAAAACTTACCACTTCATCACCCACCCCGCGATACAAAAATAGTTCTTCCCCGAAACTAGCAACATGCAGTAAAGGTGATGAGTCATAAGAATTTTTAGTTATTTGAACGCGTTCTCATAATTCTCGTCACAAACAACCTTTTTGAGCTCCTTAGCACCTTGAAGAAATTTAGACACTTCACTCCAATGTGGGAGAAAAACCGACTAAGGGCGACAAGTTGATCTCGTACTTTTTGCAGTTCCTTGACGTTTATAAGATTAAGCATATCCAAATTCTAAAATTGCTTGTACCTTTTTTGCATTCATTTTTATTCCCTCTGGGGTGAGCAGAAAGCCCAAAAACCTATTTGTCAATGCTCTAAATGTGCAACTTAAGGGATTGAGATTTATTTAGTATTTCGTAATGGTTGCAAATGTTTCCCTTAGATCTTGTCTATGTTGTATGGGGTTTTACCTTTTATCAATATATCATCAATATAGACTTCAATAATTTATTTTTTCTTATTTTTAAAAATTACATCCATTAGTTTTTGATATGTGACACAAACATTCTTTAGGCTAAATGAAATTTATTATAGCAGTAAAACTTATCCTTTATGTGAATACGATTTTCTCACTATCGGCCAAATGCATTTTGATTTGGTGATATCCAGAGGAAACATCAAAGAAACTCATCATTAAGTGCCCACTGGTCGAGTCCACCAATGCATATATTCGCGAGAGTAGACAGCTATTTTTTGGGCATTTAAAAATTTATGAAGTTCACATACATACATCAGTTATTTTTCACCTTCTTAACCATGACAACATTCACGACCTAGTCAAGGTACCAGACTTTGCTGATGAACCCAACTTCAAGTAACATATGTACCTTCTCTCGGATGGGTCTAATCAAGAAAGTGACAATTAGGCTAATCCTTCGCTTCACGGCCTTGGCCCTGGGATCAACATTCAGTCAATGTCAAGCTATATAGATGTCGAGGCTAGGCATTTCTTCTTCTAACTAAGTGAATATGCTGACATGCTCCTGTAGTGTGGTGATCAGCTCTCCCTAGTGCTTATTACCAAAAATTGTGTTGAGTAAGAAAGTCATGCCTAATCTCCCTTCGATTGCTTGCACTTGCTCGAACGCCTCAATAGTTTCCAGGTCATTGCTCCTTTGGGTGTCCTGGGGCAGGGCACTTTCTTTGACATGGTTTAGGACCCTCAAGTAGCAGCTTATCGACCATAGCAAGTCCTCCTAACTGTGATGGCTCAACCAGCTCTAGGGAATTTCACAGCTACATAGTACAGGAACACCACTACTTTGAAAATATTTATAAAGGGCAACCAAAAATCACATTTTAACATGTCGATGAATTCACGATCACAAAATAAGCCATCACGATGAATTGCCCATTATCACACCCCCATATGATTGGCAAGCCCATGATGTTTCTTGGTTCCTTTCTTTCTCCAAAGAAATAGAAAGGTGGTCCAGAAGTAGGACTGATGCTAGAATCTCCCAGGTTCATTAAATGCTTTTCAAAATGATATTTATGAGGCTTCTGGTTTTAATAAATATACTACATATCTGATAGTTTCCTATAGAACAGTAACAACAACATCATTGTATAGACTCCCATAAACTGGGATATCTTCATTGGTAAAGGTGTGAAAGGTAGGGAAGGTTTGTTTCCGATTTCCTTCTTTGGTGTTGTTCTCACTCTCTTTGCTCCTAGGTTAGTGGTATGAATTCCTTCAGCTTACTAGATTTTATTAGCTCAACCACTAGGTTTAGTGGGTTTCAAAATTCTTCAATGTGGTGATCATGGTCACGTTGGTAGGTGCAATATTTCTTTGGATCACATAGATTAGCAGATACCCTCATTGGTGTCAATTTCTTATAGTATTTTTTGGTTTGAATTAACTCCACTAACTCAGTCACGTGGGGTCGCAATCGGTAGATTCTGTGTTTGTGGCAGTGACCTATCATGTATGTACCCAATATATATCCTTTCAACTATGCGAACTTTCCTTTTGAATGGACATGTTCCTTTGCCTTCCAAGCATCCTCTGCCCTCGATATTCTTGACTTGGTGCGCTACGTCACTCCTAAGAGGAACGTGCAACCTCTTACAGGGTCATCTTCTCTCCCTCTATCTGTCTGTTGGTGGACCAGTTTCATGTTTATATTCTTTAGTTGTGATGTGATTGTTAGAGAGTTCCAAAAATTCGGTCAATACATTGGGTTGTTGAAAGTCAAGTACATGCTTGAACGGCCTTTTGTGAAGCCCTTCAGCTAGCACAGCATGGGCAACTACCAAATCGAGGTTTTCACTTCTAGCATCTTCCATTGAAATATGGTGATAAAGCTCCTTGGTGAACCTTTTGCTTGCTAGAGCATTCGCGGTAGGGCCTACAAGTTCTTTTGTGATTTTTAGGAGCTAATTTCATTTGAAATCGGAAAATGAGGTGATTACACCTAGGAGCAAGCACGCAAATCACCCAAGGGAGGAAACAATCAGGGTGCTAAAAGAAGATGACACTTTAGCATGTTAATAATGTGAAGTAGTGAAATCGTAGCTTTGAAAGAAGTCGCATGGTCTAGTAGAACCGTACATAATTTGCATGAGTATAGAGATGGTATTTTGAATCTCTCTGATGGAATGGCTACCGCGATCACCCTAGAGAAAGGGTTTTCTAGCTCAGTCAACCTCCACACCCTCGTTCACTCCTCGCTACAAGAGGTGTATGCCTTGCTATCTAGATGTAATCCTCGTTTTCTTTGGTGGAGTGGAGGGCAGCCTCTGTGGCGCTTCCTCATGCCAGAGGTCTTATGATTGAGTCAGAGGATTCGGTTGGCATATCTAATTAGGAGGCTACCCTTGAGAAGGTGATCGATGACTTCCCACACCATCCTGGCCATTCTTGTTTCAAACTCGGCTAATTGTTGTCACACGAATTCTCTTATCTCTTTCATGTTAACTGAGCTTCCTTGTCCAAATGCTGTGGATCTCTGTATATTTCCCCTTCTAGTTTGCGGCATGCTTCATGCTTATCATCCTGAAAGGATATTGTGCTTGTGAGCACGCCGTCGGCTGGAACAAAAGAAAAGATATGAAAGAATGATAGAATGTCAGGGAAGAGCCACTAATCCGAATCCTCAATGAGAGAACTTTTACAACCAAGTTGCATCAACAATAGGTCTACCACAAAAATCAGTAAACAAACCAAAGCGAAAGAATGTTTTCGCATAACCCCTCCACCAATTTCTACAAACGCAAAAAGCAATAAAAAAAACTACTAAATTTTCTAAAAAACGGATAGAACTTGGGGTTTGGAAGAACAAGCAAATAAAGAAGCTCGGCATAAAGAGTAGGAAAAGCACCTTCGGTACAATTGGAGAATTGATAGCACTTGTAAGCGGTTGACTAACGTGAAGGAAATTCAGACATAGCAGCGCAGAATCGAAAGCTTCGCTGACAAAGTTTAGGGTTTCAGGAGAAAAATAATGTAAATTAGAATAACGGAAAGCGTTATAAAACGATAATGCAGAACCTGCACCCTAAACAACCGTTGTCGAAAAGAAGGCCAGGCTGCGAGATCAATGACACGATCGCAAGCGGAAAGAGAAAATAAGCCCCGCCTTGTTGGTGAAATATACAATGCTAATAAGAATCGGGGAGAAAAATAATGTAAATTAGAATAACGGAAAGCGTTATAAAACGATAATGCAGAACCTGCACCCTAAGGAAGCAAGCTTTGGGCCTGGCTAACCGGGAAAATGGTTCATCAAATATACCGCTAAAATATATATTTGATAAATTTATATAATTCTTAAGGAATAATATTAATAACTCTACTACTACTACTAATAATAATAATAATATCAATAATATAACATTAAATTAAAAAAATTATAATACTATTGAAGTTATTATTATAATGATAATAATAAGAGTTTAATAATGATACTAATAATAATAGTATTATAGTTAATATGGAAAACAAAAAAACAACATAAAATTTTAAAATATTCTAATAGTAATAATAATTATTAATACAATGATAATAATAATAATATAGAAAATAAAGCTAATAAAAACACATAATTATGAGAAGATGTAATAATAATAATAATATTATTATTATTATTATTATTATTATTATTGTTGTTGTTGTTATGGTAGTTTTTGAGATAAAAACAATTGAATTTATCATTTATTGAAAAAGCTTATAGACTGGAATTCTGAGGATGTAAGACTATTGGATCAAATAAGTTTTGATCTTACTTATCTAGTATAATAATGATACGTGGTATTGAGTTCAAATTCAGTAATAATAATAATTGTATGAATAATAATGATAATCATCATCATCATAATCATTATTTGTTCACTTCTAGGCATATTTCTATTAAACTTGATAATGATATGGACTATAATAATATATTTTCAAGAAGATCTAATTATATTCTTGACTGTCAAACGAGGCTTCTGAAATGGACCATTTTTTGATATCAATGAAGAGTTTCTTATTGTGCCAGTTTGGGTTACTTTTACTAATTTACGGCTTTATTTTTTAATCATAAAGTGTTTAATGTGGTTGTTACATTATTGGATCGACTTCTATATACTCATCCAACTACTACTAACAGGTGAAGGCCTTCCATAGCTTGTGTTTTGGTTGAAATTGAATTGTCCAAAACCCTTCCAAAAGAATTTTGTTGGGATATGAAATTCATGGTTATGCTTAAAAATTTGAATATGAAAATTTGCCTATCTATTGCTCTCATTGCAAAGTTTATGGCCTTAATATTAATGAATGTTTTATTTTGCATCCTCATCTGAAACCGATTACTTGGAAAAAAAATATGACCTGTGATAAATCTTATAAGGCTTCCACTCTTATTTTGCTTGATGTTATTGGGGATAAACATAATGGTAATCATGATGATGGTATGAAAGTTTTGGAAAAGGAGGTAGATGATGAGGCTCATGAAGCTTCAAACTCTGATCCTCTAAAAGTTCCTCTTCAGGAAGACCTTCCAGTTTCGATCACATCTAATTTGCATGGTACTAATGGGAACTTAAGCAATTAGATGGATATGCAAAAGGGGTGGCACTAGATTCTAATGATATGAATGTTGTTATTCCAATCATTTCCTCTACTTCTAATGCTCTTACAAATTTAACCAACATGCTTCCTTACCCTTTATTTCTATAGGTGCTTCTGCTCAGATGAAAAATATTATGGAAAATATGATATTGTGGATGATAGCACTTAGGTATTTATGTATTATGAAAATAATTTAGAAGAAGAAGAAATTGGGGATCGTATTTCATCAGCTTCCCCATTACAACTGAATCACCCTTACTTCAAGTGAATTATTTAATATATGAAAATATTTTCAAAATGTTTATCAAAAAGAAAGTTCACCCTCCTAAGACTAATGGAGCAAAAACTTAATGTTATCCATTTCTATTTTTATCATGCATTCATTTATTTATTGGAATAATTGAGACATAATTCCTCTGTTGTTAAAAATGGGACTAAAAACCTTTATCATATTCAAAATATCTCCTTTTTATTGTTGTTGAGCATACATATAATGTTTCTAAATTGCATAATATCTTTAAACAGCTTGGTTTTGATTTCATTTTTGCTAACTACAACAATAAATGTTGAGTTTGTTGGAATCATTGGTTAAAGATGGACATACTAGATGTTCATGATCAACTTATTCATACCAAGTATCTCTCACCTTTGATAATATTAATTGTACTGCATATTATGCTAGTTGTACTAAAAGTGGCCAACTTCCCATATGGAACCAACTTAAAACTCTTTTGTTATACATGCAGGGCCCTTGATTAGTTGGCAGTCACTTCAATGTTGTCTCTTCTACATCTGAAATACTTGGTGTTGCCCCTCTCAATGTCAATGCGAAGGATGTTTGATGAGTACTTTGCACTGTATTTTAACTGATATATGTTTCACAGGTGTCTCTTTTTTTTACAATAAAGTTATGTGGCAAAGTTTAGATCGCTTTATTTTTAACATTGAGTGGATTTTCGCTTTTCCCTTGTATTCAGTTGAACATCTCAGTAGGACTCACTCTGAACATGCTCATCTCCTCATCTCTATCAAAACAATCTCTCTATATTCAAACATATCTTCAAGTTATGTAATATGTGGATTGAGCATTCTACCTATTTTGGAAACTTTCACTCTTAACTACAATGCTCCCCTTATTCCTAATGTTAATATCCAGTATATGAATAGACTTTGGTTTAAATTTAAAAGACTCAAAATGGCTCTTAATCGGTGGAATAAAAATATTTTCAAACATTATTTCTCCAACATAAAAGAAGCTAAAGCTAAAGTAATTAATTTAGAAAGTAAATGTTTAATAATGATAATGAAAAATCTAACTTAAATTTACTTAATGCTAGGATCAATTTAAGCTCTCTTCAAGATATGAAAGAAATATTCTGGAAATAAAAAGCTACTAGTAAATTTTTGAAAGAAGGCGATAAAAATATCTTCTTTTTTTCATTTTATCATTAAAAAGAACAGAGCTTCCAATTAATGTTGTACATAAAATTAAGAATCCTAATGATAATATTTTGCTTGAAAAAGATAGTGACATTGCTTTTGCTCCACTTAAAGGAAGTGATTGTGTCCTTATACCTAAACTCGATGTTCTCCCTCATTTTATCTCAAGGGGATAATTTTTTTGTGTTAAATTGCCCCCGAGAAGAAGAATTGCATAAATATATTTCTTCTATGAATGTAGGCTATTTCGTTGTCCCAGATGGTTGCATTGTTAATTTTGATAGAACTGTTGGCCTATCATAAATGTTGGCATTTTAAATGGTGTTTATGAGTTTTGTTAATGATGAGCCTTTAACCAAATTTTTAACTCCCACTTCTATTATTTGAATCCTTAAAATCCCCAACCTAAACTATTTGAGTAACTTCAGGCCTATTAGTTTTTACACAAATTTATTGCTGGCTAATGAACTTAATAATGATCAAGATTTAAAATTTAAAGGAATAAATAGATATGTCAAAAGCATATGATAACATTAATTTGGGTAAACATTTTCTCTAATTTTTTTAATAGCAACTATTTCTTTGTGATAATTATTGGTAAATCTAATGGCTTCTTTAAATCTCCTACTAGTCTAAGGAAAGGAGACCATTTTTCTCCATCATTGTCATAGACTTCCTATCTCGGGGACTCAATAAGCTCTTCAATGAAAACCCAATTTTATTCTTCAAATCTTGAATGAAACATGAGGTTTCTCATTTAGGCTTTGTGGATGACTTCATTATTTTATGTAATGTGTCTTCTAACTTTCTAATTATGATGTATGACTTCCAACAAGGTTTTCATTATTTGATTGAGCTAAACATTAATAACCTAAAAAGCAATTTCATTCATACCAAATATTTTTCTTTCTCTTCAATTATTCATATAAGAAATATTTTTTCTATCCTCAATCTCTTTCTTTCAAATATTTGTGAATCTCTATGTATAATGGCAAAAAAAAGGAACTTTATATTTATTGAAATCGTTGCCTTTATTAAGAACTATCTATCCAGTTAGGTCTTTTTTATCTTTGAGAGTTCATCTTACACATATTAAAAGTGTTCTTTGTTTTACTCCAAACTGCTCGCCTTTCAATTTTTTTGTTCTAGAATTGATAAATTATTCAAAAAAATTTGTATGGGGTTCCAAATATACCAATAAAACAATTGCCTAGTCCTCTTGGAATAAAGTGTTGCCTTTTTAATGAAGTTTGCATGGGGAGTAAATCTCATTGAAATCTCTGACATTCTTTTTTTTTGTATTGTGGTGGTTTGACATGAGTAAATTTTACGTGATTCCACATATTTTTTACCTTGCATTTTACCTATTATTTTTAGTGGTTTATCATAGATTTACACTTGTGGAAGTTTTTTTTTTTGTCGATGTTGTGTAGGTTACATTTGTTGAATACATGCATTTTGAAACAAGAAAGACCAATGTAAAAGCAGCCTAAAGCGATGTGACATGCCAAGCTTTCAACACTAGTGGCATGAC